ACGAGAGACACGAATTCACCCGTGACCGGTCAACAATGTGTTAACGCGCTCGATCAAGCTTATTAACTAATTGATTCGTCCGCGATCCGTTTCTCTCTTTCCGCCCCGGATCGCTCGCGCGAGCGTGGACGATCGATTCGCGAGATGACCCCCGTCAGATGCTGACGATTTATCGGCCGCATTATAATTTATAAACGCTCTTGGCCCGTGCCTCTGTTATCGTGCTCGATCGCCGGATAAAATTACTCCGCCGCGAGAGGGGCGAGTGTGCGAGAGGGAAAAAGTCGGACAAAGACGGCGAGAAGAAGAGAGAAGGAGTTATCGTGAAATTTCGCGTGCTGCCTCGCGTGCGGCTTGCAGCAAACCCCAGTAAAATTGTCGAGAACGTTTTAAGCCTCCCTTGCACCGTACTTCCGGCCAACCTTCGAACCAATTTCACGTACGTGGATCCGTCGATGGCGCGATGCTGTCGTACTAATCTACTTTGAGTTTCGTTTAAATAATTCCAATGTTTCGAATCGTTTACAGTCCGTTTTTGAGGTCTAGGACATTTCTGAGAAATTTTGAGAAATGGTCTGCTGGTGTTGGATGGTTTTTTTTTTCATTTCTTCCGACGATTTTTTATTCGTTTCTGGTTCAACAGAGAAGTCTTTTGATGACGTTGAAATAGGAAATTTTGGATAAATTTTATAAAAATTTGAAAGGGAACACTTCTACCCTCAGACAATGTCTTCGCTCTTTCTCGGTTCTTCTTTCGCGATTGAATTTTTGAAAACAGGAAATTGTTGATGGATTTTTAGAAAATTTCGAAGGGCAGACCTCTCCTAGTGTTAAGCAATATTTTCATTTTCTCTGGCAAATTTCTGTTCGTCTCCGGTTCTTCTTCTTTCGAGACTCGATTCTTGAAAATGGGATATTTTGAATGAATTGTGTAGAAAATCGAAAGGGAAAACACCCAACGCTAATCTAATCTTCGTCTTTTCTTTTCCTTTTTTTAAGTAGGTTCGGATAATGAACATAATAAATATAAGAGTATGTATAAAAATGAATAGAGAAATATATATTAGGATAAATATAGAATCATAAGAAAATAAAAAGTAGGATTTCCACATTGTTAGGTCAGCTTCTGCATTCTCGTCGCTCTAATGCGAAACGCAAGAAACTCTCGTTCGAGGTTTTACAACGGACCAACAATAGTTTTGGCAATGGAAGCGATCGTAAAAGCTGACTCTAGAATTTCCGCTAAAATTAAATGCGTTTTCGGTGTAAACGGTGTGCCACGATAAATCATCGTGTCATAGACTGGCGATAAAACGCGCAATATTTTGCCCATGACACAATTCCATCGAATCTGACAGTCGACAGATAGTTCGCGCTCGTCGAAAAGCTGTCGTGCTTTCCTATTGGATACGAGGCTGTTGCACCCGTGTAATTCTCTCTGTACTCGATTTCGTCGAATTTCGATCGATATAAATTATATTTCAACTGGTTCGCGACGTTTTTGTAAAGTCGCCACAGACTTTGTGTAGTCTCAATTCTACCAGCTTTCTACTCAGCCAAAATAGCTATGGTTTCCTACAATTTTGCATCTACGAACGATACGAAGAGTTTAAATTAATAAAAATGAATAGGAATGTTCACGTTTAAAATTTAGATTTTGAAGATTTTGAAAATGTCCAACTTTTAGCAACCTCGAGTCTGTAATAAATGTTTACTATTGGAGTAAGTATTGACAAATTTGGTAAATGGTAAACCAAATTTGATACTTTGACTGATTTGATACTTGACATTTTGATAAATTTCGTAAATTTCACCTGATACCTTTTTTCATCAAATTCTTCATATTATATATTTGTAATTTATATTCTCTTTGTTACATATGAAACATCGAATTAAACAATCTTTTAGTAAGGCTCGCCTAACAGACCTATACCTTAGACACAATGAGAGAAGAGAGAAAGTGAGTGTTTCGTCCAAGATTTGCTAGTATGGACTCTTCAGTAAGTTAAACAATCTTTTAACGATCGCGTAACTTTTTCCAACTTTTGAGCAAATTCTATAGCCGATAATGCAATGACCTTGAAGCAGAAATTTAAGTTCTGTACATACTGTTTAACATAATTCGGTAATCTTCAGAGAAACTCGGCCATAAACCGACTAATTAGCGAGGCAAGGTAATCGAAAAGGTTGTCACGCGTTTCACGTGACCCGTACGAACGAATGAAGGTCACTGCGTTTACAAGGGTGAAATAGAACGGGGAGAAGAAGTAGGATAGACGGTTCACACGCGAGCTTTTTACGAGTCTGCCTTTCGAGATCCTACGACGACGCGGAGGTGCACCAGCCATCTCGAACGATTTCTTTATAGCGCCACGGCCATTACGGGATTACCATCGTACTGTTCGTGTTGTACTCAGTAAAGAATCCCGCGAATATTATCATCGCAACGAAGCGTGCTTGCCTATTTTATATCGCAAGAGTTGCGAGCAATTTTTCATCACCCTTCTTCGTCCTACCGAACTTCCTCTTTAACCGTGTCGTTAATGGAAATTTACTATTATTCTTGCCTCGAATATTATTCTCTCTTTTAACGCTCGGTGTAATTTGCATTTTTTGCAATTATCGCGTGCCTCTGGAAAGCCCCTTTGCCCTGGCCAGCCATATTCAACATCTTATCGTAGTTAATTTATGTTCAATAGGTTAAATATTTACTAGAGCGTACACGGGGGCTTAGAAATTGCGCGTGTTGCAGGAAACCTTCTGAAATTTCATTCGCACTATTACGAGACTTGGCCATCATGATTGTATTGGGAAAGTTTCGAACAAATTTGAAAATATTCGTATATGTAAATAAAAAGATGAATACGTGAATATGTGAACATGCTTCGTACGATCTACGTACGAACATGATCTAGATGTAGATAAAAAATATTTGTAAAATTTGGAACGAGATTGGAAATACTCGTATACGAAGAAATTATAAGATATTTGGCATAGCAAAGGTAACAAAAGTATTTAAACAGTCGATAATTCATTATATTAATAAATTTCAATATTCTATAGGGTTATACCTAACACTTGTTACATGCTTCAGCTGGCTGTAATATGTACTTCCTGATTCTTTAATAAGTATTGCAATAAATATTTTGTAATGTCTAAAAATTATGAGATATTTGGTATAGCAAAGATAAGAAAAGTATTTAAACAGTCGATAATTCATTATATTAATAAATTTCAATATTCTATAGGGTTATACCTAACACTTGTTACATGCTTCAGCTGGCTGTAATATGTACTTCCTGATTCTTTAATAAGTATTGCAATAAATATTTTGTAATATCTATATATATTTTTCAGATTGATTAGGTTTAGGGTCAGGTTTTAAATTTCATCAACCTATTTTGCTAATTACAGTGCTAATGAAATTTCTGAATGTTCTACATAATATGTAGAATATGGACGTAGAAGTTTTGTAAATGTTCAAACATCTTGTTGAGTGTATCTCTATCAAATTAAGCTTTGATACAAAGGAATCCATTTTATGTATTAAATGGTAGAAGGAATGGAACCAGTAGAACTGGAAAAGATTAAAATAGTAATTATGATAATTATGACTCTATAGTAACAAAAATGTGAAATATGCAAATCTTCATAATTTACAGCTTTTACACGTCGACCAGCCTGTGCATCGACCAAACTAAAAAAAACTTTAGAGGGAGAATTTTATTTTCTCCTTTTCTTTCCCCTGTTACTTTCACCACCTTCATAAATATGTAGAACCTTTTTCTACCACTCTCACTTGAAATCAACCTAAATAGAATTCCATTTACGTGATCGGAGAAAGAATTCATATGTCTGCAGTTCATATAATAGAAAATCACTGATTCTCCCAATAACCTATGGCTTCTCGATCAAATAATAGGAATTCGTGTTCAGTTAAGTGGATTCAATCATCAGCGGTTCACTTAATTCGATGTTAATACAAATTTAGTTTCGATGCATGAAATTCGGATAATTTGAAGATCTATTATCATGAGTACCTTTGGTCGTTCTATAAACTATTCCAAGCAATCGATAAATAAAACAGGATCATATCGCGATGTTTTCCGAAATTTTATCGCCTTTTGTTTACGAAAAGAAATTTTCATTGCGAACAATGAGGAGGAAGAATTTTTGACAGATTTTGCAACATATAAATATCATGTTATATCATATCACTTTTTGTAGTTTTATATTTTATATTTTTAAAATTTCATATTTTATCTTTTATCATCTGTTTGGATTTGTACATTATCGAAATTTAAGCGCTGCGAGAATATAAGTAGCAAACGCATAGAGAATAAGACTTATAAGAGGTACGTACATTCTTATGTTAAGTTTAAGTTGTAGATTTTAAGTCTAAATGTTAAGTACGAGAGATGATAAACTTGATTGTTGGAAAAGTAGATCGTAAGGATAAACCAAAGAGAAATGTAACTGGAAGGCTATCTCGGAGGGGAAGGAGGACCATGAAAGATAAATAGAGAATAAATCTTACATTTTATATTCAATACAATTCATATTTTTCGCGATTTTCTTCGAAATTCTATAGCCGATCTTAAAGAGGAGTTTTGTACCTGGAGAATTTGGCAAACAGCAGGAAACATTTCTATCGAGTTGAATTTTTGATAAATTTAACATATTCTATAGACATTTCCCATTTTTGTTTTTTGAATTCTGTCGCTGTGAAGGAAAATATTGTATGTAAAAGGAAAATTTGATTTCAGAAAACAATACGATTTGAGGAAACAATACGAGAGAAAAGATTTCTATTGAGTCGAATCTTTGGTAGATTCGATGTGTTCTACAACGATTGCGCGAATTGAATTCTGAATTCTATCGCTTTGTGTGTGTGTATGTATGAATGTAAAAAGAAATTTTGTATTTCGCAAGACAGGAGAACAATTTTCACATATTTTTCGAGATACAAAGTGAATTAATTTGTTTGTTTGTTGTCGCAGTTATGCGGCGTGCTGTGATTTTCTGCAAAACAACAACCTGCTCAGCATCATAAGGGCGCACGAGGCTCAGGATGCGGGCTATCGCATGTACCGCAAATCTCAGACGACGGGTTTCCCGTCGCTAATCACCATCTTCAGCGCGCCCAACTACCTCGACGTTTACAACAACAAGGTGAGACGTCGACTACTTGAAAATTCTATAAAAAAAAAAAAGAAAATTGTACGGTTGACCGTAGAGTATTTCGTGGAGAATTTATTTTGTATAACATTTAAAAATAAATTTTTCTTGTTTACAATTGCAGGCAGCTGTACTGAAATACGAGAACAACGTGATGAACATCAGGCAGTTCAATTGTTCACCGCATCCCTATTGGTTGCCCAATTTCATGGACGTTTTCACGTGGTCTTTGCCATTTGTAGGTGAAAAAGGTAAATGAATGATGTATATCAGAAAATTAAATAATTATCCATACCAAATGCCAATTATACTTGAGCAATGCTTATTATGCCCCATTATAGCTAATCCTCCACAGTGAGAATATTTAATGCATATATTTAATAAAATTAAATAATAATCTAATATGATATATCAATTATTAAGAATATTAATTACACGACTAATTCTTCATAATTAAGATTAATTTTCTGGTATTCGTATTAAAAAATTAAATAATCCATATAACATATAATATTTAATTAATATGTCGTTTAATTATTATACGTAGTTTCATTCGCCTTGTAAAAAATGATCATTTTCAAAGAAACTTCTCAAATTTTTTAATATATTTTAGTATATAATTATCGTATATAATTTAATCAATTGAACTGTCGCTATTAATTATTCCGCGCTTTGTCTCTCAATTTCACAGTCACAGAGATGTTGGTGAACGTGTTGAGCATCTGCTCGGACGACGAGCTCATGAGCGACGGAGACGATGGGCTCGAAGAAGGTAATGTCCACTATCACATTGCTCGCCCCCGTTCTTCTTTTAATACGACCACGTTTCTTGCAGAGATTCTTCTTTCTCTCTCTATCTATTTACCTTTACATATTTATATAAATATTCTTCTTCTTATTTCTTTCAAATCGATATCCACTGGTCCCTCTTACATCGTGATCAGAGTGATCCCATTTGTGCGGCACGTTTGATGCTTGAACGATTAACCGATTGAGGGGAATGTTTATGTTTCCAATTCCCATTGCCGTATTTTTCCCCCTATTTTTGTTAAGAAAAATACGCAAAAGATATTATCTTTCTATTAAAAAAGCAAGAAGTGTTATCTTCAATATTATTATTATTCTTTTTTTTTTTAATATCGTTATTACGAAATAAGAATTGTAGAAAAATATGCTTCTACGATTTTTCTTTTTCTTTTCTTTTTCTTTTTTGATGCATTTTTTATCTCATTAGTTTTTGAGTTAATTCAAAGAAACAACAACTTGAAAGAAAGAATGATTTTAACTTAGACTTTTAGTTCCGACTATTTATCGGTGAAATCTAACGTGCTCTAGACACGATTTAAGAGAGGCCATGTTGAACGCTCGGGAACGCGAGGATTCATCTCTTTACCATGCGTTAAAGTCTCAATAGCGAGATAACGAGAGTGACGCGTGGTTCCCTTGATCTTTCATTCCTCTTTTTTTTTTTTTTTTTTTTTTTTTGGGGGG